AAGTAGCAGGTAGGCTGGTACCGCACCAAGTAGCGGTAGATGTGTCGAGTACTCGAGGCCAAGCAGAAGAAGACAAACGTTGGCATTTTCAAAGGCCCAGTAGTTGTAGGGTAGGTGAAGGCGGGTGCCGGTCCAAGTAGTCTGAGTATAGGGCCTGCACGGGCAATATCAGAGTCTGCAATCATGTTTCCCGGTTGCTTGGAGGCTGCGCGGCCCGGAAGTCACCACCCAACAGGCAAGCAGGCCGCTATATCTCCAAAAGGAGCAAAGAGCTCCTCCTCATTCTGCGGGTGCAAGTTTGGCGACACACCGCTGGAGCGCTGGCTGGAGCAGCGCTGGGTGAAGCAGCACTGCTGGGGAAGAAGGAACACCCAGCTCCGCACCTTGGCTATGGTGGAGGAGCCCAGGCTGGAGGAGGAAGACGACGAGGACTAGGAAGGGGGAGCATGAACAGGGTCTTTTACACCAACATGCAAAGGTTCGAATCCGTTTACTCCAGCGATTAATTTCAGTTCAATTTTTGTTTTGAAAGCTTATGTGTTAAACTTCGGAAACCTCCAAAAGAAGCCAAAACAAAACCTATCCAAATATAAAAAATGAAAGGTAACTTCATTATGGTAGTATATAGGGTTGTCGACGTTCGGGGCGGGCCGAACGCCTGAACCCGAACGCCTGAACATCCGGGACCCCCTCTCGACGCGTTCGGCTGTTCGGCCGAACCCAGACCAAAAAAACAAACAAACAAACAAAAAAAAATCCAAAAAATTTGAAAAACAAATATGTTATGCAGAAGAATAAACTGAACAACATTTGCCTCAACGTTACATCCAAATTGGCAAATTCTTTACCAAGTTTGAAATAAAAATCAAATACGAAAAATAAGAATAATATTAATGAAAATTAAAAAAAATAAAACGAGAGTCTAGGAAGTTTCCCATGCCCAGCAGGGCCTGGACGGCAGGGCACCCGGGTGTGACGCCCGGGGTAATCGGGCGTGCAAAAAAAAAAAAAAAAAAAGATTTTTTTTAAAAGTTTTTTAAAGTTTTTTTTTTTTGTTGCCTTTCTGCGCTTTCCCAGAGGACCCCAAATCCGACTCGTTTCATTTTTTGAGAGTTGGCTGTCAAGGGGGGAAAGGAGGGTATAAATTGTTTTCAAAGGGGCTAAGAGTGGTTAACAGGGGGTCCTTTAGTGTGATTTTGTTATTTCTTTTTTTATCTGCGATTCGGTGAGGAATTCTGATGTGACGCTCAGCCCAAAGTTGTTTGTATTGCAATTCTACACGACATATTTGTTTCTGGAATTTTTTGACTTTCGTTTTCTTTTTCGCGCTGGGGCTGCCCGGAACCCTGCCCGGGGGTCATGCCAAGCCGGGCACCCAGGCGTGTATCCGGGCACAAGTTGGGTGCCCGGGCGCCCAGAAAAACAACCTAGACGAGAATGAAATTATTGAGTAGGCGAGCACGTTTTTGACACTGCCATCTTTGGCGATTTTTCTTTTTTTTTTGGTTTTGACAAATGCCATGAAATTTTATATATGTGTATCTTACATAATAGAGAACCTACAAATAAGGTTTGAAAAAATAATAATTTTTTTCATGCCCATTCAGCAGCCCCGAAATCAAGGGAAAACAAAAAGTGAAAAGAAAGAAAAAACAAATTAGTGTGTGGGCAAGCAACTTTTGACACCACCATCTTTGCCGATTTTTCATTATTTTTTGGCTTAACAGAATGCCTTCAAAATTAAGAGGAAGATACCTTACATTACAAAGACCGCGCAAAAAAACAATTGAGAAAAAATAAATTATATTTAGGTGCCAAAAGATTGTTTTTGCGGGGTCTGAACCCCTTCAGGTTCGGGTACGGGGACCCAAACGCCCGAACGTCCGGGGGTCAGCTTAGGAGCCTCCATACGTTCGGCCTGGCAACCCTGAATGTATATATATCGTCAAACAGAGCTGCCCGGTAAACCATAGGCAGTGAGGGAGAAGACCAAAGGGCCCCTTTCACATCAATTCAAGGGGCCCTGCAGGTAACTCGAATGGCTCCTACAATGTAAGTGGACATTGTGGAGTCGTTGAGGACCAACGCTTCAACGAGCAGGATTGCCGCATTATATGTGGAAGAGGTGGGAGCAGACCACCAATATATGCTGTGGGTTTGAGTTCTGGTCTGTAGCTCGGCAGTTATGGGTCACCAATTCAGCTAAGACCCTGTTCGTGTCTCCATGTGATTCTCAGGACTTCGCTCCACCACTCACCAAATGTATAACGTTACAAGGAATCTTATGCTAGAACATGGAACCATACACCTCCATATGCTATGTCTCTTGCTATGTGGTGAGTAGTGTAGCCAGGCCCCTTGGGCCACTGTACATATTCATAAGACACAAAAAGAAAAAGACTAGAGAGCTACATGCATCTTTCATCCTAACCCATAACTGCCGACATGCAGACATGAATGCCAATCTTCAGCATATATTAGTGGTCGGCTGGCCTTCCCAATCACATCTCGGGACTTTAGCGAAGCACTGCGGGGCAGGTTGCTAATTGGGCAATTTCACACTTCTCGCGAAGTTTTTCCACCACTGTGTGGGATTTGCAGAAGGGAGGGGGAAGGCCAGTTTCCACACCCCGCCTAAAAAAAAAGACTGCTATATTCATGATCCGCCATTTCAAAATTTTTGGGGGAGGGGCCTGCGGAATTCGAAATTCAGCAGCCCTTGCCCAAAAACAATTTCGGGCCGGGGGCGCGGCCGGTTTCCGAACTCGCGTGGTGAGTTGAGCATTTTTGCCGGGGGGGAAGCGCTAAGAAATTACAGAACGCCTACTTCTTTTTTGTTCCCGGACCTTAATTTCTCCGGTGTGCTGCCCAATGCGTGCGCAAATCCGTGCACCGAGGTGCGCCGCAACTATGATATGGATTATTACTTAGTGTAATCAGTTAGGGGATTCTGCAGACTCTTGAGGGTTCAGCCTCCTGATGAGTCTGTGAAACTCCGAGGAAACAGTTTGTCACAGCCCCTTGTTTGTTGTCCTCTTCTCCCTCTCTGCCTACAGTTTACCGGGCAGCTCTGTTTGACAATATATATATTGTCAAAATAGTAAAAGAAAATCTGCCGCATCCAGAGGAACAAAATCAACTGGAAAAGAAGGAATGAAATAAAAGGTGAGTGCGACCTAACCCATGTTGCTGAATGGTACACCCACGTGTAATTGCTAGTAAAATGGTTCATGAGCTAGGCAACCAGAGTGGCCCTGGACCACTTGCCCAGCTGGGCCAAAAAAAAATCAAAAGACATATTTTAAAATATTTTTTTAACTTTATTGTTTATTTAAAATTTGGTAAGGAATTTCGATGTGACCCTGAGGCAAATGGGTTGACGACAACTGTCGACTCTTCATCTCTAAAACTTGACGCCGGGGAGGCTATGGCGTCACGGGGAAGAGCGCTGGGGCGCTAGTGGAGCACGCGGGTGGGACCCTGACCGGTCTCTGGCCGTCACTGGCTTCGGTTGACTATCTGTGAGCAGTCCAGTGTGGTTGTGGAGGGAATTGCGTTGGTGTGTGGACGATTGACTGGTGCGGCAACATACTTGACGAGACTGATCGGGGGCATCGCCCCTCGGTCTTTGATACGTAGGCGCTGTGGGATTATCCTGCGCTTGGTTATCAGGGGCAACCTGCAGCAAACTTGGGAGGAGCGGATGGCACTCTATAGGGATGATGCGTTGGAGATGGAGGAGGATAGGGCATCGATAAAACGTCGATTTCAGGGAAAGACAATGATTTCTTCGCAGTGATCAGTATCGCCCACCGTCGATGACAACGGGCTTCAAGTTGAGAACGGGATTCTACGCTGTCGCTAATGCTCCTCCTCCGGGCGTGATGTCAGTTTCGTTTTCCGGATCGTTGGTGTTCTGACCGATTATTCATGTGCCCTCTCATTAGCTCAATGTTTCATCTAGAGAGAGAGAGAGAGAGAGAGAGAGAGAGAGAGAGAGAGAGAGAGAGAGAGAGAGAGAGAGAGAGAGAGAGCACTGGGTTAGGGTAAATAGTTTCCTGATAGATTTCTTTTATTTTAGACGCTCTCCGTTGTTTTGTTTTTTTAGCTAACTAGAATCCCTTTTGTTGCACTGTTCGTGTTTAGGTTGGAAGAGAGAGAGAGAGAGAGAGAGAGAGAGAGAGAGAGAGAGAGAGAGAAAGAGAGAGAGAGAGAGCACTGGGTTAGGGTAAATAGTTTCCTGATAGATTTTCTTTTATTTTGGACGCTCTCCTTTGTTTTGTTTTTTAGCTAATTAGAATCCTGTTCGTGTTTAGGTTGGAAGATATATATATATATATATATATATATATATATATATATATATATATATATATATATATATATATATATATATATATATATA